TTTACAACATTGATGGGAGTTAATGTTTCGAGAAATGGTATTATGATGAAGTTGTGTGCTGAATTAATTTTCCATAAATAAAACCATACATTTTCATATTGTTTTTTTTCGCCCTATCATGGAGGTGTGTGCTCTCTGTGGAAAAACAATTTCTCCCTTTTTTCTGCTCCCTTTCCTCTCCATGAGCCCCACAGTAAGACAGACCTGGGTTTGAATCTGAACTACGATGCCACTGGTTGTGTGACCTTGGGTTAATGGCATTACATCTTTCAGGTCAGAGTTGTCAGTTAGAAAATAGGGGGATGAATGACAACGCAGAAGGTCTGTCATGAGATTCAAAGAGAGAACCTGCGGAAAGGTGCCTCACACCAGGTCCTCAATCCATGGTGGCCACCTTCCATGTTCTATGCCCTTTGGCTTAGCAAGAATGAGAAACAGGTACACGTCTTCTTTGGAGCTCCTTCCAGCTTCTTCTTCCAGCCCCTTCTCTCCTCTCTGTTTACATCAGGCACCAAGAGTTCAGTTGTCAAAAGAACAGCTAAGTCTTTGGCAACAGTGAGCCTGTTGCTTTTCCCTGGGGCCACCATCGCTGACCCCAAGATCACATTTGAGAAGGTCCTGCCCTGGAGAGAGACCCAGAGGAATGAATTTCAAACAGCAGCCTCTTGGACTGAACACCTCTTTTGTGCTAATGATCGTTACAATTATAATAACATTTCCTGGCACAGATGAGGCCCTGGGCTCTGTGCACCATGTTTCGTATGCAATTTTCCCCCTGAATTCTTAACTACGCACCTCAGAAGCTGGGTGTTCCAGCAGGGTCGTCTTACAGATGAGGAGACCAAGGATCAGAGAATTTAAGTGACTTGGAGATCGCGTAGCTATGAGGTGGTGAAGCCAGAGGCAAACCTAGGTCTGAATCCAGAGCTTACTGTGGAGAAGGAGGCGACTCTATTCCAAGGTGATGTCATAAAAGGGGGGAGGTTGGGGGCAAGGTTGAAAAGAAGGAGAGGACACATGACAGAGAGACTGGGGAAGCTTGACGGTGGTGGTGTCATTAGAACACAGCCCCGAGATTAGACTGGGTTTCAGCAGGCAGAGCTGAGGAGGGAAGGGGCAGTAGAGGTGAAGGAAGCACCAGGATTTGAGGCAGAGAGGCTGGAAAACACGGGGTTTGTTGTGGGGACATGCGTGTGTCAGGAATACGTCTCCGTAGGGGGTAGAGGCTACCTCTCCTTATTTGCATTTTACAGAGGAGAAAAGCAAGGTCCAGGGGAGGTAAGTAGTTTAGCTGTGGTCCCACAGCTAAGAGGTAGAGCTGGGATTTGAACAGCCCTCTGTCTTGCTCCAGAGCCATTTCAAGGTAGAGCTCACTGGGGGATCTCAAGTCCGTCACTACCTAAGGGGAGGCTTTAGGACCTGAAGCTTCTGGGAGGATTCTAGGTCCGGCAGCCCAACCATGCCTAAAGCAGCTTACCAGTGTCTCCCCCCACCCCGCTATTGCCCCTCTGAAATGTGTGGGAGCTTGGAGGGGGAGAATAGTGAGGAACGGGACAATTTTCAGATTCTCAGACAATTGCAGTGAGACTGTACCTTTGTACCACACCTGCCTTTTTACTCCCTCCTTCCTGGGATCAGGTTACTCTCTTGCATTCTTTCACATTTAATAATCATAGCTTATTAACCACATGCTGGACCCTGGGATAATAATGAGGCCTGAAGACAGTTTGGAAGCCTGCGGGAGGTCATGTAGCTAGCAAGTGGTGAATGAGGGGTTCAGTCCCAGCCTGAGCCACTCGCCAAGGTGCCGGTCCCCTCTCCTCTGCTTCTCCGACTTCTCACAATGGCCCCAGAGAGGTCTCTGGGCTCAGGAAGTCTGACCCGCTTGCCAGGGCTCGAGGTTGGTGAGCCAGACTCGGAAGCTGAGCCCGGTCTGTGTCAGCACCTTCAGCTTAGGGCCCACAGCTTCCCCCTTCTTTCACAGACTCTCCGGAGGCCCAAGAAACAGATGTACGAGACAGTGGCTCTCTTTTGCTTGGAAACGTAGGTCCCCCAAAAAGAACTGTGTTGGGAATGTGCACTAAGATGTTTCTGAACTTTTTAATTAATTAATTTATTTTTAAACACTTCATTTATTTATTTGAGAGAGAGAGTGAGCATGAGAGGAAGGAAGGTCAGAGGGAGAAACAGTGGGGAGTCCGACATGGGGCTCGATCCCAGGACCCTGGGATCATGACCTGAGGCAAAGGCAGATGCTCAATGGACTGAGCCACCCAGGTGCCCTGAAGTTTTTTTAAATACCAAAAACAATTTTGTATTTTTTATTTATTTTGAATTATTCTTGACTTTTTACCCACTCGTTAAGTGCCAGTCATTGAAAAGGACTTCTGGCACACCCTCTAGGTAGCAGACGCTGTCCTAGGCACAGGTGTCCTGGTCCCTGTGTCCATGTTGCCAACAGTCTAGTGACACATGCAGGAAAGTAAATAGGTGGTTGTAATATGGGGCTGGGAGGGGGAGAGTTGAGGGTTGTTTTGAGAGATGCTTAAGCATGGAGGTCGGGGATGGCTTCCTGGAGGAAATAATGTCAAATCTGGAAGGAGGCGACTGGGTGAAGAGGCTTGGGAAGAGTGTTGGAATCTTAAGGAAGAGCAGGGCCAACCTCAGAGTGGAGAGAGGGAAGGGGGTATAGAGCAGCAGCATCTCACCGGTGGGGCAGGAGCGAGGTAGAGGAGAGCCATGGTGTGTTAGTCACCCAGGGCCGCCATGACAAAGGACCACACGCTGGGAGGCAGAACCTAGGAGGCATCTTATAAGGACGCCAGTCACGCGGGACAAGAGTGTATCCTAATGAAGCCATTTTAACTTAATCACCTTTTAAAAGGCTCTATCTCCAAATACAATCTCATTCTGAGGTACTGGAGGTTGGCTTCAACATGTAAATTTAGGGGTGATGGATGCAGTTCGGATCATAACAGACAGGTCCGGCAAGTCCGAGGAGCCGTGTTAAGGAGTACGGACTCTCTCTGAAGGCAGGGGGAGTCATTGCAGAGCCCGAGGCAGAATGACGGTGCTGAGGTTTGCACTTTACAGAGTTCTTATAGCAGCGAGGGTGAAGAATTGACGGATGGAGAGGAGTTCGGCAGTGGTTAGAACACCCTATAAGAGAACCTGGCAGAAGGAGAGACTCTGGAGGTAGAAACCACAGGATTTGTGATGGGCTTCCCAGGAGGGCAGGACGGGGGCTTGTCACGATGAGCTGGATGTCTGGTTGGGGTCTCTTGGTGCACCAGGCAAATCCTTACTGTGCATTTTGGAGGAGAGCCTGGCCCAGGAGAGGGGAAGGAGATGAGTCCAGGTTGGGGGGGGTGTCTGAGTGGAGGCAGGTTTCCAGCTCTGGAAAGAAGTCTGGATTGGAGACGTGGGTTTAGGACTCATTAGCTCTGGATGGTAATTGAAGCCGTGGGAACTGATGAAGGAGGGGTGCTAGCCCTGAGTTTGAATATTCAGAAGCGAGCTGAAACTCTTCTTATTAAAGCCGGAGATATGTGTGCGCGGAATGATGAACACCCCTGCTGATAGGGAGACCTAGTTAATTTTCCTGCATGTTCTCCTGTCTGAGAGCCACGGGGAGCCTGGGGTGAAGAGGGTCTCCTGGGTGTTAGCTCCCTTCCCGAGGCCTGAGGTCATTTCATCAGCTTTTGATACTGAATGAGTCACTGGAGTGAGTCAGCCCAGGTACCCCACCCGGGAAGGACACACAAGCAACTCTTTCAGACTGCACAACCTGCCTTGTGGATCAGCGGGGCAGGGCGGGAGAGGGCGCTGTGCCTCTCGGAGCCTGTCCGTGATGGAGGCTTGTCTGTACAGGAACAGGTAATGAATGACACCAAAGAACTACAAGTATTTGCTGGGCTCGAGGATCATGACACATACTTTTGGAGGTAGTAGGTTTTTAGATTTGTCTTTTTTTTTTTTTTTAAGATTTTGTTTATTTATGTATTTATTTGTGAGAGAGAGCACTAGAGAGAGAGAGCAAGCACAGGTAGAGGGCAGAGGGAGAAGGAGAAATGGGCTCCCCACCAAGCAGGGAGCCCGAAGTGGGGCTCCATCCCAGGACCCTGGAATCATGTCCAGAGCTGAAGGCAGACGCCTAACCCACTGAGCCACCCAGGCGCCCCTACATTTGTCTTTTTAAGATGTCTTTCCCAACCACTTTTAACATAATAACAGCTGACATGTATAGAGTCCCCAAGAGATTCCTGACAATGTGCAAAGCATTTGACCTGTGTCATCTCGGTTCATCCTCGCAGGTGGGCACTGTGGTTATTCCTGTTTTTCTGATGAAGACAGCACAGCTTGGAGAAGAGAAGACGCTTATGCCAGGCTGTGCCGTTGGTGACGGAGGGGCCTGGACTCAAACCCTAGCAGCCTGATGGTGAGGCTCATTGGGCCACCTGGGCTTGCTTCCTGGAAGCAGGACCTTTGCCTCACCTGTTTCCCTGGCCTCATAGTCAAAACACCTGGGGCCCATCCCCACCTCCCCCACCGGCTGGGGTGTGACAGGGGTAGATTGCTGACCTTTCTGCATCTCAGCCTTCCACCTCTCATAAAATAACAGTGCCTACTAGAAGAGGATTTGGGAGTGAGTTTAGTGATAATCCGTAATGACTCGGAAGCACTTAGCTCCATGCTGGGAACATAGGAAGTGCCTGGGGAGGATGGGATTGTCCAAAGATGGCCATATCGATGCTGATACCTTCCCATGGGCTCTTTTTCCTATGTGATGGTGACACTCCTTCCCTGACCACTGGGTTTAGAATCCCTCTTCTTGAACCAGCATGTGCCTTGGCCAACAGAGTACAACGGAAAGAACACTGACTTCTGAGGCTAGGTCATTAAGCGTCCACCTGCCTCTCTCATTTAGTCTATCTCGAGACACAGCCCCGCTGTCTGAGTCTTCCCACTCTGGGCACCAACCAGAGTAAGTGGGACCAATGGCCCCACCTCAGAGCCGCCGCAAGGATGCCGAGGAGAGCAGAGGCAAACTGTCCCCACCAAGCCCTGACCCGACTGCAGATCTGTGAGCAAAACAAATGTTTTTCTTTTAAGCCTCTATGTTTTGGGGTGGTGTCTTATGCAGATTAGATAATAAGAACAATGCCCAAGAAATGGGTCTTGATGTTCTTACTTCTCCCTGAATTAGTGCACTGTCACTAATTCCAGAAGTAGGCTATAAATCAGGAAGATAATGTCTGGAGGTGGGGTAAATTTGGGTTCTGGAAAATCCCCAAAGTGTGTCAACTCCTATTGGCTGTTTGAGAGTTAACGAGTGGCTATGAAAGCTGATTGGATCATCAGAGGTGGGAGGGTTTGTACTATGCAAATGAAGGACAAGCAGGATGAAATCCCTGAAGGTGGGGTGGTATGTGGTAAGGTGAGGGTTCTGCTCTCATTTCTCCTTTGTGAGCCTCGTGGGCTTAGGTAATACATCCTTTGGGATATCTTAACCATTCCCCAACGCTCTCATATCAATAATATCATTTCAGCCACACCATACGTCTCCAGGATGAGGTAGGACAGGGAGTCCTCACCCCATATTCCAGTTGGGCAAACTGAGGCACAGGGAAGAGAGGTAACAAGATTCAAGGACATACAGCTGCTCAGGGGCAGAGCAAAGAGGGTATACTCTCCTTGCTTTTAGAGCCTAGCTCTTCAGCCTGCGAGCTGTGTAACTTGAGGCAAGCAGATTGGCCTCTTTGTGCCTAAATTTTCCCATCTGTAAAATAGGGTTAAAAACAGTACTCCTTTAGAGGTGCCTGGGTGGCTCAGTCCATTAAGCACCTGACTCTTGATTTTGGCTCAGGCTATGATCTCAGGGTTGGGAGATTGAGCCCTGGGTCAGCCTCCACACCTGGCATGGAGCTTTCTTAGGATTCTGTGTCTCCCTCCCCTTTGCTCTTCCTTCTCCCCTCCCTCTCTTAAAAAACAAACAAAAAACAAACAAACAAACAAAAAAAATCCTTTAGAGAGCTGTAAGGAGGATTAAATCAGATATTTCGTGTGTTTCAGAGTTTCAGATGCTCCTGGCATATAGGAACAAAGTAGGAAGTGGCTGATTTGGGGTTTAGATTAGGTGGTCTACCTCCAGACTCCATACTGCGGAGACAAGTCCTGGTAATTCCCATCGCTCCTCCAGAAGGCCAGAGAGCCCCAGGTCTCCCACTGTGCCCCAGAGAGCATTATTTTGAGTCTTCCCTGGTCACCCTTCTCTGTTCCCTGTGCCTTGAATCCATGACGCCCTGAACCAAAGGAAGCGCCGTCCCCTCCTCTCGTATTAATGTAGCCCGAGATCACACTGCTCTTTTGGCAGTCGCATCGTACGGTTGACTCATCCTGAGCTGGCAGTCAGAATCCTAAGTGTTCTTACCACATGTGCTAGCATCAGGCTGCACTCTTGCCCAGCTAGGATCGGGGCCATGGGAGATTTAAAAAACCCGACTACAGAATTGTGTGGTTTGTTAGCTTTTGCACACTGCTACAGCCAGTATAAGAAAGAACCCAGATGAGCTCCTCCTCCCTGGGTACTTGGAGACACCCAATACATTTTTAATATACCCTCTCTTTTTTAGTTCATTTGAGTGGCTTGCTGTTTACTTGCAGCGGAAAAAGCAAGCCGCAGATTGGCTTCTGAGAGGTTTGTGTGTAGGAAGACATGGGGTGTGGCTTGGATGTTGTGGACGAGTGCAGAGAGAGGGGGCTCAGGAAGGTTGTGCCACGTGCCAGTTCTGAGCACCACCTTTGATTGCCACCTGAACAGGACAGAGTGAGGACAGAGGCTGTGTTCTGGGAGGACACTGGCAGAATTAATCAGGCTTCTAGTACATTGGTTGTTCAAATGGGTTCTGAATTCCCCAAATGTATTGTCACCTAACCCACATTCTTCCAGATCCCACAGGATGAAGTGATATTTTTGTCATGCCTAATTTCTTGCCGAACTACAAACTGGTCTCGTTTGGGCCAGGGATCTGCCTGCCTGTGCCCCAACGGACTGTTGCAAGGGGCAGATTCAGCCGTGCAAACCTGTCTTCGGAGAAGTGGCCGTGGAGGTTGGGCAGATACCCCAAAAATGCTTGTGTGTAAGGCCTAATCACATTAATGTCAGGGTATTTCTTAAGGAAATCCCCCCAAGTTAACTTACAGTTAATTTAATTTGTGTCATTTAAAATCCTGAATCAATAAAGCCATGGGTAGAATTACTTTAGCAGGACCCACCTGGTAGTTTCTTCCAGGAATAAGGCTCTGCAGGTCATCTAATGCATCATTGTCTCCTCTTCTGGCTTCAGACAGTCTCTATCTGCTTTAGCATCGGTTCTTAGTAACTTTCACTTGACTGCTCTGTAGGAAACAGTGTTACCTTCCCTCTAGGCAAAGGAAGGGGGCTCTTCCCAAGGTGTGGGCAGAGTTAGGGGCTTCCAACCAGGGAAGCTGATGCCTCACCCTGAGCTAGCGAAAGCCAGAAGTTTTATCCCTGCTTCACTGGAATCAGCAGAGGAGGGAGCAGTTCCTGGGGTCAGAAGAAAGTGGTCATAGTTACAGGGATTGTAGGAGAGGACGCCTGGCAGGACTTTGGCCTTGGGTACAGGGAGGCAGCCCACTTGTAAACCCCCCCACCTCCCAGCAGGGAAGAAGCTGGCAAATTAGTATCTCAGCCTCATTCTCTCCTCTCCCTCAATCTTCTGCCAGTGCCTCAATGGGCGGAATCTAACTGGAAGTCAGGACAAGAGATCCTGTGGAAACAATCCGCACATGCTAGCCTGCTGGGGCCACAAGGAAGGGCCAAAACAGGTGGGAAGTGGACCTGGGAGGGAGAAATGGGAAATGCGCAGCACTTCCTAAACTAGGCACTCGCTGTTTGCCTCCCCAGATTAGCGCTTGTTCTAATTCATTGTTGCTCCTGGGAGATCAGGCATGTGGTGAGGGCTGTATCTGACTTGGTCTTCTCTCTGTTCCCAGGGCCCACCCCTGGGCCTGGTTTGCTGTGGTGTGTACTAGAGCTTGGGAAATGAGTGGCTGGGTATACTTCTGGTGTCACCGCTCGGGCCGTACAGCTCTGCGAGCAGCGAATGGCCCAGCACACAGCTTGCACACAGAAGGGACTACTGGGGGGACAATCATGGGCATGATTGAGTGAATGGATAAATTGTTAGGGTGGAACTCCTTGACAACCCCATGATGCTAAGTTCGTGTCACCATTCAACCCCAAATTCATTAAATTCGGCAAGACCAGTTCCTTTGGCCGAGGCACGGTAGCATACACATTATTATCTCTCGTCCCATATCCACACCACCCGGTTCTGGTAGCTTCTTCTCCATTTCCTCAGAAGCAGACCAAAGTTATTTACCTCAGACTGTTCCTGGGAATTGGCCTTAAATTGGCCAAGGATGGGAAAGGTGTTTCTTCTCCCTCTTTCCACTTTTTCTTTGTCTTTTTTTTCTTCTTCTTAAGTGTATCAGAGGTAGTATTGTTTGCATTTGAAGAGCTGATACACAGAGAACAGGAGGAGAATTCCAGACTTCACAGGCTACATGATGCTGCTGTTAAAGTTTTGGGCTTTGTCCCTTCATTGCATGGGTTTGGATCCCAGCACTGTCACTTCTCAGCTGTGTGACTTGAGGCAAGTTACTTACCTTCTCTGTGCCTCCCATTTCTTAATCTTCAAAATAGAAGGGTTAAATGGGTCAAAGCCTGCAAACACTTAGTACAGTGCCTGTTACATGGAGAACACTCATTAAATATCATCAGGGGTTTGACCATCCGAGCAACTGGAGAAGAAAAAAATTGATGGAATTTGACTTTCTTAAGAGATGGAGAGAAGAGGGCCCCTGGGTGACTCAGTGGGTTAAGCCTCTGCCTTCAGCTCAGGTCATGATCTCAGGGTCCTGGGATCAAGTCCCATATTGGGCTCTCTGCTTGGCAGGGAGCCTGCTTCCTCCTCTCTCTCTCTCTGCCTGCCTCTCTGCCTACTTGTGATCTCTGTCAAATAAATAAATAAATTAAAAAAAAAAAAAAGAGAGAGATGAGAGAAGAATTTCACAATCCTGGTACAAATTGGAATGAACCAGATGTTTCTCAAGGGCTGCTTGTCTCTTCCTTCCCGCTCTGATGTGGGGTAGGTATAGAGAGAAAAGGATCTGAAACTGTTTCCAAAGGGGTTATTCAAAACTAAGCTGTTGTCTTTTTATTTTTTGAGAAAAATCTAAAGACCACTGACTGTATCTGGTATTCTCGCTTCCTTTTCTGAGAAAGTTCATGAGTTCTTGGCCCCGAATAAGCTTAGTTCTCTACAGCTTCCCACAAGGAAATTAAATTTTCAGGTCCTGCACAAAAGTTTAGTTATCACTAATATGATCATTGGTGCTGTCACTGTAGGAGCAGGGAGGGGGTGGAGGATGGATTTGACAGTGATGAGAAAATATTCCTCCTCCGGCCTCCCCGCTCAGACTTACGGGCACACACAGATATACATGCACACACACAGACACAGACACACACACACACAAAATGTGACACACTCCCTCAAAGACACACCAGCGCCACCACACACATCTCTTCACAGAAGAGGCACTTTCTCAGGGGCAGTTACTATCCTGGATGGTTTTTAAAAAAAAAACTCAACCTGACCAGCATTTTTGGGATGTTTATTTAGCCAGAGCTAAGCACTGAGGGAGGTGAGGAGAAAAGCATGTTACTAGCATGATTCTGTCCTCGCCCTGCCTTCTAGGAGATTTCAAAGCAATGTACGGGGGGAGACAGAGATACCTCCCAGTGTCTGAGGAAAGGTAGACTGTGACAAGGACTTCTCAGGAGGTTAAGAAATTGCTAACGATTGCTTTCTTTCAGGGCACCTGGGTGGCTCAGTATGTTTGGCATCTGCCTTTGGGGTCCTCGGAGGGAGCCCTGCATCAGGCTCCCTGCTCAGCAGGGGGTCTGCTTCTCCCTCTGCCCCTCCTCCTCCTTGAGCTTGCTCTCTCTCAGATAAATAAAGAATCTACAAAAGAAGAAGAAAAAGAAAAAAAGATTGCTTTCTTTCTTTGACATATTTTTTAATGGGCTTCTGGTGTTTCACATTCTCAGGGCGGTTTTGGTCAACCAGCCGTGTTCTGCATTGGTCTGGATTTGAATATTTGATCTGCTACTTAAAAGTAGTGACACTTTTGAGCCTGATTTCTTAATCTGCGTACAGGATATCAATATTACCTGTACGTATTAAGATTGTGTTCTGCTGGAAATAACAAAGATCGAATAGCAGTGGCTTAACCAAATAGAAGAGTGTTCTTCTCATGTTAACAAGCAGTTCAGAGGTGGGCAAACCAGTATTGGCGCCATTTCCAAGGGACTCATCAGGGACCCAGGCTCCTTCGGTCTTGCTGCCCAAGCACCCAGAACCACAAGGTGACTGAGAGATGAGTCAGTTGCCTTTGTCCCCCATTTGAAGAGCTTTCTGGAGAGTCCCCCTACGTGACTCCATCTTACACTTACCTGGCCACAACTATGCCAGGATGACCAACCCTACCTCCAGAAGAAGATGGGATATCAAGTATTTTAACTGCACAGTGTTGCCTCAAACAAAACTGAGGTTCCCTGAGGAAGGAAGAAGGGGAGACCCCATCAGTATTTTGGAGTTCTGGAGAAGATTCCCTGAGGTAATTCACATCAAACTCGGCCCAATACCTGACATGTGGTAACTGTTGTTATCAGCTGACACTCTCCTCAGTGTCTTCTCTGACGATCCCCATGTGAGACAGCCAATGGAGCCTTGCTCTCCTCACTGTCCCAAGACTCCCTGCACCCAAAACTCAGGCCTCACCACTCAAGCAATCTCAGCCTCTCCAGGAAGTCTTCCCTCACCACTCTGGTCCTCAAAGATACCATCTGCTCTTTTGAAAACCTGTAGCACAGAGAGACACTATCACTCAGTTGTCATTTAACATATATTTCATGGCATAACTAAATCTATATTCATGTGTTTATTTTTCTTCTCAGCTTATAAGGCAGAAATTATATTTTATCCCCATATCAATGCCTCAAAGCTCTCATGACTGGATATACACAAGTAGATGCCAATACTGAATAAATTGTAGGGCATACTGAGGTGGCCAGCTTCGGTTCCAGTTGCTGGGAGGGCTGGGATGTGGTATGCCAGGGATTTCTTCACGTGTGTGCAATAATGAATCACGCCTTTGGGGGGCATTTGCTGCTCTGTCAACATTCGTTTTCATGGCTAACATAGCCAAGTTGTGGTCATGTCAATGTGCAATGGGGTCACTCTCCAAAGAAGCAGGGATCACAAGCGAAGTTTAAATGCTGTTGGAAATCAAGTCATCAGTTGTTTCATCAATTGAGCTCCTGCTGTGTGCAAACAGCAACACTGAGTATGGACCACTTGTTCCTGTCTCACTTCCCACAACCTCTTCCTATCTTGAGGTAAGATGAGCTCCATTGTGCAGCAACACTCACTTTCTTTAAGCTGTGAATCGCAGGGACTTCCCGGAGTCCATCAATTTCAAAACCATCTCCTAAACGAGACCCAGCCTCTTGCTTTCAAAGGGACCCTTGACAACTAATTAAGAAAGAAGAACATGAAGTAGGACTGTTATGTGTTGGAAAGCCCTATATGTACCTGCCTCCTTTCCAGCCAGCTCATGGCCTGGTTTTTGTGGGTTTCCCGAATGAGCTACCAGTAACCCTCTCTCTTCCTATCCAGTGGAAAGGAAAGGATCTGTCTTCAAGCCGATTGCTTTTCATCCCTTAAAGTGAGTGAATTTGGCAAATAATTTCTGAGCCTTTCTTGTGTATAAGGTACTGTGCTGGCATGGATAACAAGAACATATTAAATCAATTAAATAACTGATTAGATATTTGATTAGACTGTGCTAGCTAATGGGGATAGCTTTATCTTTTTAAGACTGATAGAGCACTTTCTGTGTCTACGTGCAAACCCCAGGCTTATATATATGTTTTCTCCTTGGATCCCTGAGGGTTTATATCCAAACTCCGAAACAGGTGGAAAATGGACTAATTATCTTTTACTTCCCCCCACCTCCTGCTTTGTGTTGAAATCCCTGAAGGAGGAGGACAGCTTGGAGATCTAAAACGAGGATCTGATATTCTGGGAAGAGACCCTCTTTCAGTTGAGGTGCCCCACGCCAATATGGGGTGGCTTCAGCTGAACACAAGTGGCCACATTTTTAGGTAAAGAGGGCTGTGCCATCTCCCCTATGCCTTGCCTCTGAGTCTCAGGTCTAGTCAATGTGGTTGAGATTTCCAAATGCCCCTACTGCCCATCTGATAGGGGAGAAGGATGCAGTTAAGAAGCCAGAATCAAGTGCCTGCCACGGGGTCGCTGGGTTGTGACTTGAGGAGACATCGTAACAGAATCTCCAGTGAGGGGCCAGAGCTGGGGCTCAGGGAGGATACAGCCAAGTCTCAGGATCAACAGAGCCAAGGAGATGCTGAGTCATAGGGAGGACAACCTCCATTTACTGCACCGCTGTTACATCAGTGGTGGACGCTTCAGAGATGGGTATGATAAGGGGAGAAGCAAACACCCAGGGCCAGAGGGATGCATACCTCAGTAGAGGCCAGCCCGGACATTGGGTGGCACCTGGACCTGCCAAGATGACAGGCATGATCTAGAATAGATGAGCTGCCCATAAGGCCAGAAAAAGGTAAGAAAAAGCCTTGTGGAATTTAGCTTCACTCCAGAGGAGACGAGAAGAAGGGGAAGACTGTTCAGTTGAATTGAATAAGTTAGCCCCAAAGGGATGGGCTTTGGCCAGAGGAATGATGGCATTATCTTGCTATGGAAAGAGTAAGAGTGGTTTTTTGTTTGTTTGTTTGTTTTTGTTTTTTTGTTTGTTTGTTTGCTGTTTTCAGAAACAGTCATACCAGAATTGTGACTTTGAACTTTATACCCACCAGGGGGATTAGGTCAAAATATTCTCAAGTAGTTTCTTTTCTGACCTCTTGGCTTCTATCTCAGTGAGCCTTCTCAAAAGCTGAAGTGCTTGCCAGGACCAAGGTGGGTATTAAACCCATGAATAATGGCTGAGGCTTCGTCTGAAGACTCCATAGTTTCCCTGAGGGGATGCATATTCGTATTCATCTTTTAACCAATGGAGAAACCAGAAGATGACTCACCCTTCAGAGCTGAGGGGGAAGTCATGATGCCCTTGACAAGAATCCCTCTGGCTTCTGGATTTTTCTAGGTGAGGTCAAGGCAGCCCTGTGAGGAGCGCATGAGAGAAGGGAGGCAGGAAGGGCTGGGAAGAGAGGTGGTGGCCATTTTGGACAAGGGGCTCATCCTGCCAGAGACCACATCTCCACACAGAGGCAGGCTTCAGTTCTGAAATGCAGCTCCCGACTGAAACACCCACCTTCAGATTCACACACTCACTCATGGAACTGTCCCTCACCACCACAGCAATGAGTGACCCTGCCCGGAAGCCCTTTCCCCTTCCACAGGCAGGAAGAGGAAGGAATTACGGAAAAACAGAAACAAAAACAAAACAAAACTGCTAGGTAGAGAGAAGTTGGGGTGGGGGGCAGGGGACAGCTTCATTTCTCCCTTCCTTGGAGTATAAGCAATTCCACCTCATTTCTTTCACACTAAATGAGGTTGCCAAGGAAATCGATGTGGAGCGACCCCCACAGTGTGGGTTTAACTTACAGAAACTCAATATACTCCCTCATAAACCAGATCAATTAAGAGGTGATTATTCACTTTACAGGCAAATGCTTTGCTTCTGCACTGGATTCCTTGAAGGAGGAATTTCCTAGGGGCATCTAAGAATTTGCTTCCAGACCATGAGTATTTGATGGAAGGCAGAGGAAGGAAGAGAAACAAGAGCTCTTGTCTGCTCTACATCCAGGAGGAATGAAGAAAAATGATGAAGGTTCTCTGAAATCATGTAAATCAATGGGAAAACAGGATGGATTCCCCAAATTAAATTTATATGCAATTTTGCCTAGCATTATAAAATATCAGCTTTTGCAAAAACCTAACATTTGCTACTATATGCTGAACTGAAGAGTTTATTTACATGAATCCTCATGACAACCATAGATGTGGATATTATCCTCACCTGTCATTGAGTAAACCAAGGCCCAGGATGGGAAGACACTTGTCAAAGGTCACAGATATTTCAAGTTCACATCACTCCATAAATCAATGCTCATAAATCCAACTGCGTGTGTTTATATGTGTGTGTGTCTGTCCCTTGTGGGTTTTTGTTTTTTTCCGTATGAAGCACAAAGGGTTAACATTCATTCCTCCATTTGAAAATGTTTTCTAAAAAGGAAACTATTTTTGGATAGAGTGAATTAAAGAGTAAACATGAGTCTTGCTGTTAGCTTATTTTCCCTGAGTGCCCACACTCCTCCAACAATAATTCATCCAGGATGTGAGTTGGAACTCATTAGAAGTCACCGGGCCTGGGGGAGAAGATAAAACCACGATTAAAGACATCTGAGCCTTTTAGGACAATTTGTTTTCTTGGATTTCATTTTTAATAGGAGACACTAATTCACACAAGAAGTCCCCGGGGCAAGCAAATGGTGCCATGTAATTATTGTTGGTCTCTGGGGTGTCCAGGCATGAGCTGGCTCCTGGGCTGGGCAAGGTGCCAGGCCTGGGGACCCTTGGAATTTCGATCAGTGTGGTGTGGTGGTGGTGGTGGTTGGGAGGTGACCTCTTACTGCTCCATGAAACAACATGACTCCAAGTTGTCTCTTATGAGCTGGCTCTTTTTTTAAAAAAGGTTTCTCCATTCATCCTGCTGGGAGGGTGAAGACCTGGCCCATGAGATCAGATTCAAAAGCAGTATGGTAGGAGAGATGAGAGAGTTACTATTCTGAGCACCAGATTCTCCCCGGTAGCTAAGTGGGTGATAATGATCCACAGTGGGTCTCAGGTCCCTTGTCTGTAAAACGAGGAGCTGATGACACAGTCTCTCAGGTCCTTTTCAAACCTGGGATAGAATCAGAAGGGCAGAGTAGGAGAAAGGCATCCTGGAGCTCTGTTCCCCAGCCAAGACCCTTCCCAGGCTGAGATACTGGAATGACAACAACAGTAGCAGTGAAGGAATGTTGCTATGTACCAGACGCTGACATGATGTTAAATACTGTGCGTTCTGGGGCAATCTTATGGAGTAGGTACTGTTCCCTTCATTTCACAGCTGAGGGACCTGGAGCGCAGAGGGAACGTACCGGAAGTCGCACAGCCCCGGGTGGACGACCTGCAGGACCTGTGCCCCCAACCACTACAACCCTCATCTGTAAAATGGGAATCACGACAAACCCTCCTCAGAGTGTTTCACTGAGGATGAAGTGACATTCTGAGGTAAAGTGCTTAGCATCGTTCCTGGCTCATGGTAATAGCTAATTAAGTAAAGTGTGTTTGTTTAGCTCACAGAAGCTAATGGGAATGAGAGACTTAATTATTGTCTTCAAATATATGAAGGATTTTTAACGATTCACTTATGTTTCATGAATATTGAGCCCCTACAGAGCCAGACTAAATGCTTTGTATTATTCTTAAGTCTGTGTCATCTAGGAAGAGAATTTAATTTAAACAGGAGAAATTTAATTAGACATAAAAATAACTTGACCTTCATTCTGGCTGTAAAATTCTAGAATAAATGATTGCAATTAGCTATGCAGGTTGTATTCATGGTGTTTTAAGTAAAGAATTACCATCAGAAGTGCTTCCAGGTACAGCTGTGCAGGTTGTGTACTGCACAAAACTAGGGGTGGCCATTTGCACCATAGTCTATGTGAATAGCATTCTCTGCAGTTCCTCAGTACACAGTCTGCATGGCTGTTTGTGGCAGTCCTGTCTATTTGTTCTGAAGTGTTTAAGTGGAAGCTGGTCCTGTTTCAGCTGTAGGAATCCTTGGCTTTGAATAAAAGTTGAGAGTTGAGATGATTATCTAAGAAAGGTAAACATGTGGCTTGCACAATACAAGTCACCATTCCGGGTTCCATGGCAGTCACAGATAACACCCCATGGCTTCAGATTCCCTCTCAACACAACACTCCAGGGGGTTGCTATCAATAACTCAGATCTGTCACTTTAGCTAAAACACAAAAGCTGTTTAGCCTAGGAGCTTTGCCTGGAGTCAGAACACCTGGGTTCAAATCTGAGCTCTCCTGGTGAACTTGGCGAATCAGAAAAGAAGCTTTTGGCTGCAAATAGCACATGCCATACTAAAAGTGTTTTAACACTAAGAGAAAGCTATGATTATTATTATTGTTCTTTTTTTAAAAACCCAAGATGTGTGCAAATGTTCATGTGCACAGTCACACACTGTGTATATTTAACATCTCTGGTACTGGGTGTGCCTTGTGATTGTTGGTGCTAAGCATCGCCTATGCTCATGCATCAACCCTGCAGAAGCTGATGGTGTCCTGGGAACATAGCCCAGAGGTGCCAGAGGGGCACCCTTTTGAGAAACGCTGCCTCATCAAAGCTCTGGATGGTACAGAGGATAAACATCTATGGAACAACTTGGGCACTGATGACTCAGAGAGGAAAAGTGTCTAGACTCTCAGTGTAAAGCAGATTTAGGAATGCCTTGACTAACTGACTTCCCTTGAATATATATTTTTATGAATGTACAAAAGTGATGTGTGGTATAAAAAAAATCTAGCCATGATCTTTTGAATGAAAATGGAGGTTTTGCTAGCAGGGGAGAAACAGAGGAACGACTGTTGGTTAGTGAGCCAGAAGAGTCCATCACACTTGGCAAGCTGCTTAGATTTTCTTTGCCTCAGTGTCCCCATGTGTAAAATTACAATAATAATAAATACCTCAGAGGGTGGTTTTGAAGACAATAATACACAGGAAGTACTTAGAATAGTGGCTGTTATATGGTAAGCGCTCAAAAAGTGTTAGCACTTGTTGATACCATTCTTATTCTTTGTTATTATTATAACTATATTACAGTTGTTCTTATAGTTCTTTTTTTTTAAAATTTATTTATTTATTTGACAGACAGAAATCACAAGGAGGCAGAGAGGCAGGCAGAGAGAGAAGAGGAAGCAGGCTCCCCGCTGAGCAGAGAGCCCGATGCGGGGCTCAATCCCAGGACCCTGGGATCATGACCTGAGCCAAAGGCAGAGGGCAGAGGCTTTAACCCACTGAGCCACCCAGGCGCCCCTGTTCTTATAGTTCTAATGCCACGTTAAATCTAGATAGATACTGAGGAACTTATGTTCTGGTCATAGGGGCCAGACTTACACATGGAAACCAAGAAGAGAGTCCCTTGCTACCTAGTCTTTGCACCTACTCTTCCCTCTGTCTGAAACACAATTTATCATCACCTCTCCCCAACCTCAGCCTGGCAAATTCCTATTCATTGCACTATGTCAGCTTAGTTGTTTCCCTGTACCCATTTTTTAGATACCTGTCTGTGTTGAATAGTTCCATAATCCTCATTATGATAGCAATGTTATATTGTGATTTCTGGTACACAACACAAAGTAGGTGTGTAGTGGGAACTTGTTGAATAAAGAAATGAAAGAAGATGTTTCACTTAGAACTCCTTTAGTTATAGGTGACAGAAAAACCCAATCTGACCAGGTTTAATCAAAAAAGAAACTCATAGACCTCATAACTGAAAAGCCCAGGGGTTGGTTTAACTTCAGGTATGGTTTGATCCAGGGGCTTAATGATGGCATTAATATTCAGTTTCTTTTCATCTCTCAGATCTGCTTTCTTTTTCTTTTTTTTTTTTTTTTAAGATTTTATTTATTTATTTGACAAAGATCACAAGTAGGCAGAGAGGCAGGCAGAGAGAAAGGAGGAAGCAGGCTCCCTGCCAAGCAGAGAGCCCCATGCAGGGCTCGATCCCAGGATCCCGGGACCATGACCTGAGCCAAAGGCAAAGGCTTTAATCCACTGGGCCACCCAGGCGCCCCTCTCAGCTCTGCCTTCTTAAGTGTTGGTTTCATTTCCAGGCTTTACATGGCATTCTCTGGTGTCTTCAGATTATTATTTTCCCTATAATCTTAGGGACAAAGAACATGTTCCTTTTTCCCCACCAGTGCTATTAATCATCTCACTGATTCTTATTCAGTCACATGTCTCTGCAAAACATCAGTGTGGCCAGGGGTAGAGTGGGGTAGAGGTTTCCTGACTGACAGTGAGAGGCAGGATTCCCAAGGGAAAATTTGGGATATCGTATGAGAATGTGACGATGGATGCTGGACCACAAAACAATAGATGTTCACTATAAAATGAATGAATGGATGACTGAATAAATGAATAAATGACGCAGGCCTAAGTAATAAAATCAAGTATAGAGAAGAAAGTGCCTTAGAATTTGTGGTAGAACAGAATAATGGCTGCTCAAAGATGCCCACATTATAATCCCTGGAACCTATGAATATGTTGCCTTATATGGCAAAGAGGAATTCAGGTTGTGGATGGAATTAAGGTTGCTAATTATCTGACCTTAAAATAAAGAGATTATCCTGGATTGTTTGGGTATACTTGATGTAATCACGAGATTTCTTAAAAGGGGAAGACAGGGGGGACACCTGGAAGGCTCAGTCAGTTAAGTTTCAGACTCTTGGTTTTATCTCAGGTCACGATCTCAGGGTTCTGAGATCACACCCTGTGTTGGACTCCGAAGTAGGGAGTCTGCTCGAGATTCTCTCTCTCCTTCTGCCCCTCCCCCTTCTCATGCACACACACTCTCTCCCTCTCTCTTAAATAAACAAACAAACAAACAAACAAGTAAATCTTTAAAATCTTTAAAAAAGAGGGAAAG